GAGGAAACCTAACATATAGTTCTTGTGTTGTGTGGCTGCTTGCTGGCTCCTGAGCTAATGCAAAGGGCCCAGTGAGAGCAGCCATTTATCCCAAGCACTCGCTACATGCTAGGCCCTGTGCTAAGTGCTTCATGCACATCCCATCTGGCCCTCGCCCTCACCCTGTGAAGTAAGCAGTGGCTTTATCACCTGCCCTAATGGCTGTAAGTGCTGGATTTGGGATGGCAACTTGACAGCCTAACTCAAAGAAAGTAGTGTTCCTTGACTAAATTACTTCAACTGAACCCATCAATAGTTATTGAATATCTGCTCTGCTCCCATCTAACACCTGGGTATGCAAAAGGTGAATAAATGGGTAAGAGTACCTGCCTCCTAATTATCCAAATTCAGTGAGCAACCTGGTGGCATCGGCTCACTGGATTTCTTGGGCAAAGGACATGGCTGCCCATCACCTTCTTCCTAGGATTCCCCCCGTCCTTTTTCTTAGTTCCTGAGGTCCCACTTACTGCTGAATCTCATCCTGCCTGCACTGTAACTCCTTGATCCTCCTCTGGTCTCTTCTACATTCCATCCTTAATTATTCGTGTTTTCTCCAGTTCCCTTTCAGTCCATCATTTCATTCTCCTGGCTAAGTCTTGTCTAACTAGTAAATGTCTATCCCTGGTCTCTACCAGAGTCTCATTTATTCATCTGATCACTCAACAAATTAGCAACTAGGTACCAGTCACAATACCAGGTACAATGGATAGGGCAGTATATGAGACAACCATGCACACAGGGCATGACTTTTCCCTCATGTAGCTTACAGTCTAGCAGCAAATGACCCAGATGTGTTATAAAAAGAAGAGTGATTTTTCCAAGCAAATAAATTTAAAAAATAAAACATCCCCCAGATCCATGGATTCAAGGCTTTGACGTGATGAGTACACTGAGAACCACTTGCAGGGGTGCAGGGCTGTACAATGCACAAGGCACCACACACACAGAATTCCACATGAATGGAGCACATGGGGCTGGGCAACGCAGCACTCCTGCTGTCATGGTTAAACATATCACTCCAGCCACACAATGTTTCTGATGAACTCCAGGTACATGTTCTCATTTAAAAGGGAGATTTCTGGGTGGGTTTTTTTTTCCCAATTAAAAAGTGTTAATAATATGCTAGCACCTATTTGAGAGCTTCCTCT